ATTCATTCAATATATATAGATATATCAAATGATTTCATTTATGCAATAGACAAAGAGATTTGAAGAAAAACAAAAAACAAAAAATAAAAAAAAAGATATACTAAGTCTATAAGCATATGTTTTTGTTGTTGATGATGTACAATAATGATAATCGTTTATGAATAGAAAGAGAGAGGGAGAGATATTGAGCAAAAAAGAAAGAAGCATTTTTTTTTCATATTAATTTCTAATTATATCATCGATTGACAAGAGATTGCAACAAAATAATGTGAAAATCTCATTTACTAGATTAAAATGAACTATTTGCAATTTCTTTTTTGTTCTTTTCCAAAATGTATGCAATTTAATATCAATTGATACGATAAAATTTTTATTCTATGATATTATACATGTATGCATGTATAAACTATTTGAAATTAGCCAAGGAAAGTATTTTAATATTTGATTACGTCATTTATTACGCATTCGATTATTTTTCATCTATATAGTTAGTAAGGCAAATAAATCTATAAATCATACAAGCTTCGATAGTATTCGTATGTAACAAGATTAAAAGGAAAAAGAAAATATAATTCAATAGTTAGTTTTGATTAACCGAGTGATTCGTGCTCTTTTTTTTTCTATCAACTGGAATTTAATGTTAATGACTTGCTCAATCTTATCTCATCTTATATTTATTCTCCTTCATCTTGTTTTACTCAAAGATAAAAATAAAAAATTTTTCTATAGATATATGTATTAATTAATTTAATAAATAAAATACATTTAGATACTATTTTCCGATATTCTTTCACTTCATTTATCTATAGTTTTTTTCTACTCATCATTCCATAGTTAGATACAATGAATCAAAAGTAATATTCAAAGTGAAAAATACAAATATGGAAATTTATAAAAAATTAATAATTATTATATTTTAATTCATTATCGTGTATTCATTCTTATTGTTACTTGTATTAGTGTGCTCGCTAGTTTTCCTCAAAAAATCTTTCAAACAACTGTTCTTGTAAATAAACCTGATGGTCATATATTTAACAGCTGTATGTAGTAAAATTACTTGAAAATAAAATAAAACTTTATAATTAGATACTAGACTAACTCGAGTTTTTAGACATTTTAGTCTTGAATAGTATATTTATATATATGTGTGCGTGTTTGCGTTTATCTAATTATGAACTGTTAGTTTTACTATACTAATGTAAGTTTAGATAATGCCAAAAACATTCGAATCTTACGATTGATCTTTCCTGATTTCATCATATTCGGTGTATTAACAATTTGGTTTTTTTTATTATTCAATGCAGATTAATAGATTTAAAGCAATGTCAATTAGAAGAACTTCAAACTTCAACAACATCAAATGTAACAAATCTATCATCATCAATCAATCATAGTATTAGTATTATAAATTTAAAAAAAATCTTTGATCAAGATTATTATCAATAATCAGACGTACATGTTTATTTATTCAATTTGCTATTGTCGGTTTTGCTGCATTCTTGTTTTATTAAAGTATTATCAATTCGACTTATATTATTATTATTTTTTTGCTTATTATTGCCGTTATATGAGCATTGTCTGTTAAATTTGATAAAAATAAATAAATAATCGGCCGAACTGTATTAGTCATTAATGCGAGCATACATTTACTTACTCTTTACTTATATTAATTGACATTTTTTCAACAAGCTTTATTACCATTATCATTATGAAGTAAGTAAGAAATTTCATGTAAATATATATTAATTCACATGTGAGCGTTTGTCTTTGTTTTTTTTTTCAAAAGTATCACATATTTGACAGCATTTGCAACAAGAAATTGTACGCAAAATAGACCAATTGTTGTTATTAGTCTTACATGGAATAATTATACCAATCTATGTATACTTTTGCTTTTTTATTTTTTACTTTACTCTTAAAAAAAATCGAACACTTTTTCAACAAGTAAATTAAATCAAACATTGGTTCTTTTATGAAACAATTTCTATTGTTTAAAAAATGCAATCGAATATAAGAACATTACAATCCGTTGAATAACAGGTAAGAAAAATAATTGAATGATAAAACAAAATGATCATTGTATTTTCGATATTTAGTTCATTTCATAAGTGAGTGTATGTAAATTAACTAGGTAAATGTTAGTCACAATCTTGATAATCAGGTTTGCCTTTATCTTTTTCTTGTTGAATTTTTTGATATGAATTTCGTGTCTGATTTTTCTACATTTCTGTATGAATAAACTTCTTTTTTTTTATTAAAATAAATAATAATATGCCAGAAAGGTTGATGACAATTGAGCATAGATGGTTTATCTTGAAAAATGCAGTACAGGAAAACCTAGTACAAAAATTAATTAGCATGGTAAGTGGTCAACACAAGAGTTTTAAGCAACTGAAGAAAACCAGTTTTTAGAAATCACAAGACAGAAAATAATTAGAATGTTCAAAGAGTAAATAATGATAAAATTCAGTAAATATTATTCAATTAGTTATTTCTTGTAGCAACGTTATTTTAGAACTGCTTCGACAAGAAAATGTTGTCCCATCATAAAGTGGCACTTGTCTTAGGTTAGATTAATTGAACACTTGTGACCAGCGGTTAAATAATTTATCTGTAAGGAATGACTCCTTAATCTTAATGGATTGAAGCGTTTTCTGAGCAAAGAATTCGACAGTATTAGCATTTAAAATCTAAGCTATTTGACGATTTGCTAAAAAATTAGTTTTTTTTGTACCCTTGTTGGATCGAAAACAGAGTATATCATTTATTATTTTATTGTAATTGTTTACTATACAGCATGTATAATCTATCAATTAAAAGAGTTTCAATAATCATCACATTCAGTAAGGAATAGTTTGAGGAATAGAATGGAAACTGTTTTTATGTTTTACTGTATTAACCATTACATTGTCGTGGTTACGACTTTTATTTAAAAAGTTGAACATTTTACGTTGACATGTTTTTTTTTTCTTTTTTTTATTCTTTTTAGTGAGAATTTCGTTACTTCACTATCATTACGTGAGTGTTTTCTGGGTGTGGGTGTGGGTTTGAGTGTCCTAATCTATTTACGCACATATGCAACCACCCACACCCTCAGTACCTGGGCTCATTTTTTCTCATCCTGATATACAATAGTATTTACCATACTTTTCATGAAAACAATTTTTTGAAGAATTGAAAATATACACGTCTTTTTTCTATGCAACTCAATAAACTCTATTCAATGATAGCAAAAACAATTTTGCTGAAGTTTAGAATTGTGAGCATCTTACATATTTATTAAAACTCATTGATAGAGAAAAGTAAACATGAAGGAGTAATATGTAGAATTATTTAATCAGTTCAAAAACTTATAGTAACAAATAAAAAATACGAAAGACAAAGAAAGTATATCTTTACAAAAAGAATGGACAATCTGGTGCCAATTTCGAACTTAATACAATACGTTTACTTCTTATCATATTTTCGACATTCACAGTTTGATCCAATGGAATAGTCGGTTGTGAAGCATCTGACTCTCTACAAAAAAAACGAATAAAACAATAGAGAAATATTAACAAACATACGAGTGCTCCCTTACGTGTCCACTTGACCATTTCTGTTTATATAGAAATTTGCATGAAAGGCTAATAAGTCAGCATATTTTACAGGTGCTGGAATAGATATTGAACGAGTACAACAAGCATATGTGTAACATAGAGCATAAGTTAACATTTGAACTTCATCTGGTTTTAGTTTATTATCGTCATATAAAACATGATAATGTGCTGGACGATTTGTTCCCTACAGATAAGAGAAATATTAAAAAAAATGTTGTCCAATAAATTCAAACGAATTGATTTACTTTTTCTCCATGATGACTATTCAAAAAGAAATCATAAGTAGTAGGATTAGTAACTTCATGTGAATCAACGACGGTACCAGCCTTAACATTACCATTTGAATCAGTTGGAAAAAGTCTTGTATGATGTTTCTTATTCACTACAATATAAGTAAGATAAGGTCGATAGATTGATGATAATTCAACACAAGCTTCTCGTATTGCCATGAGTTCTTTTTCGAACACACTATCAAATTCACTATTTGCAATTCCATCACGATAGATAATAATAGCTTTTGGTGGATAATCATGATGTTGTTCATATTGACTAATAAGAGATTTCATAATCTCTTTCATATCTACAACGTATTCACGACTTTGTCCGCGTGCTTCTGGTAATCGTTCTTGTACATAAATTTCTTTGAAATATCGATTGGGTATATCGTCGGCTGATGCTACAACAGCTACAGTTGAAAATTTTCTGCCTGAACCAGGTGCTCCATGATTGAGGTCAACGCCAACATACATATATCGATGACCACGTGAGAAGAATTTTCCGATAACATCACTTAAAATATACTCGTACAATAAGTCAGTGATGAATAAAGAAATGATAACTCACGGAACATGAAGAATAGAATTAATTCCATCTAGTTTAGTATTGATTTTCATCCAAATATTATTCAATCTTGAATAATTCCATGAATATTTGCCTTCGTTTTCCTTTAATTTAATCATTTGAGTAACAATTCCGAAGCCGAATTGTAATTCACACTAGAAAAGCAACACAAACATTCTAATTCTATTTATTTACTAATTATTTTACCAGTGTTTTCAAATCCCCATATATTCGATCTCTAATATCGATATTTTCTGGTAAGATAACTATAAAAAATTTACAATCATCATTCTTTTCCATCATGTCTTTGAGTGAAGCACTCATCTGACTAATGGAATCAGGTTGAACATTGTATTCTTCGTAGAGGACGGGTATTGAACAAGTTATACCTCGGTCAGCAGCAACATCACTCAATTGCTTATAGAATGCTTCGCATAACTCTTTATTCAATGATGATAAATTGATCAAAGCCCATACGGGTGGAAATTTTGTTGGATGATAAAATTGCGTTTTCGTATTACTCCAAACACCTGGTGATCGACACTGTTCATTATTTATATGAAATTTATCAGTATAAATGATTTCAGGCATAGGTAAAATACGCGCTGGTACTCTGAGCATATTGACATCGACATTCAAATTCCCTTCAATAACAAATGGATCTTGTTCAAAACATTGTTGTTTTGGATTCTGACGAATTTCTTTGATCGATTGATGATAGTCCGAGGCCATCATAGATGATTTTAAAGAAAGAAGTGCTCTTTGTTCATCGGTTATTTTTTTCACCTTAATAGGTTGAACATCAACGAATTCCATTGGTACAAACGATTTGTTATGCATTTTCAATGTAGGTAATGTTGGGTATCTATTTAACAGAAAAATACTAATATATAAACTAAGAGAATGTTAATTCACTAACTTTAATTGAATTCCATAGTTTTCTTTATAGTAATGTTCGACTGTAACAACAGAACTATGACCGTTTCTTTCCCATAAGAATTTTTGTTCGGATGCTGCATCACCTAAACCATCGATTTTATAGCACATTGTGTTATTGGCCACGTGTGAATGGACAGGAAGATCTTATTTTGTACAATATAATTCACTTTTAAATAGAAAGTTGAAATACTTACGTTTACAGTGATTGAGTAAAAATCCAATTTCACCATCATAATGACCACCACTGATATTTTGATCAAGAAATTTCACAACATCTTTAATCTCGGCTGTTTGAATCTTTTGCTTATTCTTATAATGGCTCTTACCAAGTGGACTGTGAAGCATAACTTCACAGAGATAATCAATGAATGATTGTTCTTTCATAAGAACTGTATGACTCACTACAACAAATATATAAAACACAAATGTTATTTTCAGATAAATATATTTCATTGACACTTACCATCAAGATTCATAAGTAATCGATTAGGACCGTTGGTGAAGACAAGACATGAATAGAAACCACGCCATAAAGCTTTGCCTAAACCAAGATCCCAGTAACCGTGTTTGTTTTCTAAAATAGGCTCTGCAAAAAATGATCGATTGTAAATATAAGCAGCATTTGATGAGCAATTTTCATGTAATACAATCGATAACATTTGTCGAATAATTTGGATATCATTAAGACTGTTGTTAGAATTATTTTCCGTATCGTAAAATTCATTATTAGAACGTAACAACCTCAAATCAATTGAATTACCCACTCGTTTAATGGAAATTTGATATTCTTCTTGACGATTAAACCTATTCGGTGCCATAATTTTCCCAGTGATTCCCTGGATGAAATATTTGAGAGTATAACAATCAAATATGAAGTCGAGAAAAAAAAAACTTAAAAAATATTACAGAAATAACTTCACTTACAATTTTGTCAACATTTGGCAATGGTTGATCCATTGTAAAGATGATATGATGATTATCAAAAACTATTTTATATTTATTTATTTGCGAATATGTTCGACAATATTCATTTAACCAACCTTCATACACCACACTAGTATAGACCGATTATGAGAAAAATGAAACACATGAATGTAAGTGTTTTTACCGTCTATGTTCACGTGGAACTTCTAAAAAACTTTTATTTTTAATTTGAATATCATATTGATAAGCAAAATCACATTGTGGATATTCAACAATCGGAAAATAGTTTACCGTAACTTTTATAACCTCCCCAATTTTTCCCAGTTCCTTTGGCTTTGATGGTTTAGCATGTGATTTGAACTGATCAATGGTTAAATCTGATACTTGCCAGTGAGGATCTGGCACTAAATTTCTTTGTTTCAGATGAGCACCCCGACCTCGGCCACCCATCGAAGTAATTTGAGATGCAGTGAATATTTGTACATTGTCTGTAGTCGAGGGAATAGAAACATCTGATGTTTTCTCTATTGCTGATGGTGAATCATCAATGGTTAAAGAAGAAACTGGTTGAGTTCGTGGTCGACCACGTCCTCGTCCTTTTACCTGCTGTGAAGACGACATGGATGCTGCAACAAAAATAAAAGATTGATTGCAACATCAATATATATATACAGTTGGATTTTATCGTGAAAATTGTGTTAGTGGGTTTTTTTCCAAACTTCATTTTTTTTTTGTGTTCTGTTTTAACCCTTTCAATCCCGCTATTTTCTTGCGTCTTTAAAAGAACACGAAAAAAGAAAGTTGAATCTCTCTCTGATTCACCCTACTTTGATCGAAAGTGAAAACGTCGAAAGGTAAATATATAGAAAAAAAATGTCGAAAGCAAAAATAATACAAATGTTGAAAATGATACTGTATAGAAAAAGGGTGTGGGTGTGGGTGTGAAGTGTGGGTGCGGAGTGTGGGTGTGTGGGTGTGTGGGTGTGTGGGTGTGAGTGTGGCTAGGGTGTGGATGTGGCTGGGGTGTAGGTGTGTGGAGTGTGGGTGTGGGTGTGGCTGTGGCTGGGGTGTGTGGGTGTGTGCGTGCGGGTGGGTGTGGATATGGGTGGGTGTGGGTGTGGGTGTGGCTGGGGTGTGTGGGTGCGGGTGGGCGTGGATGGGTGTGGGTATGAGTGGGTGTGGATGCGGGCGTGGGTGTGGGTGTGAGTGTTGCGTGTGGGATGTGGGTGAGTGTGGTTGTGGACCTTCTCGTCACTCACACCTACGCCCAACACACCCACATGCACACCCCCATCCCCACCCGACCCACACCCACCCACACTTACACCCACACCCACACCCACTCGCATCCACACCCACCCATGCTCACCCACACCCCACATCCACATCCACACGCACACTCACATCCACACCAACACATACTCCACACTCACAGCCACCCCGAACTGGTCGTCATTGACGTCAAATAAACGAAAAGAGGAGAATAACAAACAGTAAAGATATGCTAAATATGTATTGGTAAATCATATTTTGACACGGCATATAGAATGACTCATACAAAATAATGACGAATTTGTTTCGGAAAAATCTTATGCAATGACATCTGAAAATAAGATCAATATTGATCTTCTCTCAAAGGATGTGGGTGTGAGTCGTGAGAAACTGCACTCACATCTACATTCACACCCAAAACAAGCTATTCTGATAATTGAGAGCAATGGCACTGATGTAACGAGCACAATTATGAATGACATAGCATTTTGAAGGAGAAAAAATTGATTTTCTCTCATTTTATTTAAATCAGTTTAGACATAAATTTATCCTGTACTCGTATTTGAATTAAAGATAAATTACATCACTACTATCTAGATTGGTTTTAATAGTTTTGCTGATCTCGAAATGTTATGTTAATAATTGAACGAGTTCTACATCTTGATTCGAATCGCCGACGACAAATCGTTTGCTATTGAGAACAGCAATAGAGTTGCCAACATATGAGAGATCAATTATGTCCTTCTTTCCTCGTGCCATCACCATATGAATTATTGTTTGTCCAGTAGTTACAAAAAATCGAGTCATCCCATCGGTGCGAATCTGTACTAAATCGGTACATGTGCCCAAATCTTGTGATTTTATTAGTTTCATATCAAGGCTAAAGATGTTAATTTGTACCACTTGACCATTGTTTTGTGGACGTCTATTGATTGATGCAACACAATTATCTGTCATCGCAAAACTAATTCCACGTCGAAACCAATACAATATGGGTTCTCCAAACTTAATGTTACGTATATGTTGAAACTGAGTTGAGTAGATTTCAATCATATCCGCGTTATGCATTCCAGGATTAATCCATAACCATAGATGTTTGTTATTGGACGCAATACGCACATCCCACCAAATACTTCCTCGAATTACAGACATTATTTTGAATCTTTTATTGTTGTATTCAACACTATAAACCTCTTTGTTCGTAGCACAGATAAATTTGCTGATACTTCTCCAATAAATCATATCGATAACGCGTGATTGATACCAAGCACGACAGGGATCCACTTCGTCACGATCGTCCAAGTAACAATATGCAATCAAATGGGGAACTTGACAAATGCTTGTATACATAATGTTAATTCCATCGCTGGCCATACAATCAACAGAGTATGAAGTTCGCACAAGATCATCTGGTGAACTATCCTCATGAGAAAATGAATTCTCATCTAGTTTTTCGTATAAAACATTTTGCTGAATGTCTGATTCCTGTTGATTAGTCTTCAATTCTTCTTTTAAAGATGATTCAGTTTTATGCTTCACTTGTGCGGCTTCTCTTTCGGATGCATTGCTTATCGTAACATTGATATTTCCAAAATTCAATTCATATTTGGGTATTACTTGTGGCAGATCGATCTGTTTGTTAACCATTATCTTCTTCACCTCTTCCTCGATTCGATTAAGCTCTGTCACAATGCGATCAGTTTGCATGGGTTCGAAGATGGACTCTTTAAGAAGAACTTGGATCTCAAGAGAGATGAGTTGTAGTCCCGACGAGATATCTGATGCACGACTCTGGCAGATCAAATACGAGAATTGAATCAAAATTAAGTTAAAAAGAAATTTAATATTACCTCTGCGTCTGTTTTAATCGTGTTAATATGCTCGATGAGTTTGTCCTTTATTTCGAGTAAACGATTGAACCATTGATGAATTTCAAAAATGGCATTTTTCGATTCTTGATTGATCATTTGTTCTTTTGTCTGTAATAATTGTTTGATTTCATTGTGCCGCTGTGAAAGATGAGAGGCATTATCGATTAATTCTTCATTATGCTCTTTCATACAATTGAAGCATAACTGTTGCGAGCAATGCTTGCAATGACATAATGACGATCGCGTTCGATTATATTTACTAGTACATCGTGCACAAAGTTCGACATAAGAGCCACTAGCCATGATTTGTATTTGATTTAGTCGCAAATTTTAGATAAGAAAGCAAAGGCTGGCGCGTGCACGTTAGTGAAATAATATCGATGAGTCATGAAGA